CCCCCCCCCCCGCTGCACTGACAGGCGGCCTAGGAAGGTGAATCCCAATTCAAGCTGGCCACATGTTAACGGTCACAGGCTTGTTCTGCTCATCTCAGAAGGACTGCTCACACAAACATGAGACGACTACTTTCCCTCGACCCTCAAAGGAAGGTATGTATGTTCAGAGTTAATTATTTATTCAGACTAAAAAAAAGAAATGACTAGGACTACACTGAACTACCACTAAAAGATTGGTTTTCTGTAAGTCCTCTTGGGATTGCAAGTTCTTTTTGGAAGTTACCTATGGTGAAAACATGACAAATCACTTCAAGAAACAGCAAACTCATGTTTGGGACACAATTTACAAATTACTCTATTTAAAACTTTAATTTGTGATATTAATGACTGCAAAACACTTAGAATGACATTGTTAAAGGCACATTTCATTTTAATGCATAGTGTACCATTCTAAAATATCCTAATTTCCTTACAAAGTGCTTGAGCAGCCACATACAGATAAAGTATAGCAAAATATATTTACAATCTAGAGTTTAAAATCTTAATCTGCCTAAAAATATTTAAAAAACTACAGAGATAAAATTAGTGCTTTATTTCAGCTTAACTGGGTGAACATACCCTGCCCTCTAATTTTTTTAGTGATTTACTTAATTAAAAAAAAAATTCTGTACAAGATGTAGTTACAAAAAGGTATTTCCTCAGGGTGTTTTCATAAATGCTAAGCAGCACCCTGGTAGATGCTCATATATATATTTGGGAACCAAAAAGGGTAAGCTGACTGTACCTCAAAAGTATTTAGTTGTTTAGTTTCAGCTAGAAACAGGAACATAATTTCTTATTAATTAGTATATTGAAACAAATAGTGCTGAAATGTTCACTCACTCAGCCAAACATGATTTATAGAGTTTTGGGAAAGATGCCTTGCCTGGTCACAGGGGGGAAACCTTATTTAGAACTATGAACCCCTTTTTTCCCTAGGCATCTCTTCCCCCCCCTCCCCCCAACTTGACCCTGCAGGTCTGTCTGTCCAACCTCATGATTTTAAATGAACACCTTAGTGT